AAAAAAAAAAAAAAAAAACCCACCTGCTTCAGAGTGTAGTTAAATTAAAGATGTTTTTTCCAATGATGCATAAAAATAAAAGACAACTACCCAGTATTGAGCTCCCAAGTGACTAGAGAAAATAAATTAAAATTTAAAATTGCCCTTTCTTCCTACCCTACCTCCAGCATCCTATGGAGGGTGAGTCCTGGGGACATTGCTTGGATTGGCTGAGCAGGTTGATGAGTGGGATTGCAGTTTGGAGCACCAGGGAAGCCAAAAGACCCCTATGTGTTTAGGGGGAGAGCTAGACCTATGGTGGGCTTCTGGCATAGGAAAAGTTCAACTTGAGCTTGGCCAAGAAAGGGAGAAGCAGAGAAGGTAATTCCAGGAGAGTGTACCCATGGGAGAGAAGGAGAGAGAGAAAGGGAGAGGCAGCCATAGTGAGTGGAAATTTGAGATCTTTTAAAAGGGTATTTAGGGAGCTTCACTGTATAATGCAAACCGTCTTACATTATTTTCCTGGAAAATAACAACTTCGGTGAAAACTACATCCTTTTCAATACTTTTGGAGTTCTATTTATGTTTTTATTAAAGGTGAAAACATTTTGAGATTGGCTTTAGGTGGAAAGTAGGACCACCCACAAAATGCAGTCATTTAATTCATTTGTTCACAAATATTTATTGAGCACCTACTATGTGCCAGACATTGCTGTAAGCACTGATTTTTGTACTTTACCTACTATACCTCAGTTACTCTACATAGATGGTCTCACAGTAACCAATGACCAGGTATTATTTCCTTTTCCCCTTAGCTCAATAGTTCCCAAAGTTCAATGTGAATGAGAACGTGCAGAATTTTAGACCCACCCCGAAAGAGTCTGATTTAGTAGGATTGGAGTGAGACACACTAAGTCCTTATTTCAAATAAGCACTTTGATTTTGAAACAGTTGCTGAGTACTTTAGGAAATATTGCTTTAACTTGTCAAAAATGAATTTTCTTAAGGCTAGGTTGTTGCAGGGGATATGCACACACTTAGTGTGTGTGTTAAGGAGGGTGGGGTGGGCAGTATTTCTACTAGCCAAAGGACAGGAGTAGCAGTACATCAAAATTTCAAGAAAACTACAGGGAGAAACAAAACTTAGGACAAGAAGGGGGGATAGTTGTGCAGGTATCTCTTGATATGTGGAGTTACTGCTTTTGTTATTTTTCCCTTGGCAGGGTGTGTGTGCCTGTGTGTGTGTACAAGTGTCAAAAGCTGAACTAACATTTACTTTTGCACATTTTGGACACTCTTAAAGTAGGCATGGTTCCCAGGTCCTCCTCATTCCTCCCAGTATTGTATAGAATTGGACAGGAGGGTTCTTCAAGTTCTTGTCAGGATTATTTTACCCAAGAGGACAAAGAAAAGGATGTTAAGCCAAACATTGACAGTTTACCTTTCCTGCTGTGAATTTCTTCTTTGGAAGAGGCTTAAAAGTCATTCTATGTTTAGGGCTCTGATCATGAATGTTTTAATAAAAAGGTAAAATAATTCAGGTATAAGTTGGTGTTAGTTAGAACTTCACCTGAGAAATGTTTTTATTTCCATTAGTCAAAACCCATCTTCTTGGCCGGGCGCGGTGGCTCACGCCTGTAATCCTAGCTCTCTGGGAGGCCGAGGCGGGCGGATTGTTTGAGCTCAGGAGTTCGAAACCAGCCTGAGCAAGAGCGAGACCCCGTCTCTACTAAAAATAGAAAGAAATTAATTGGAAAATATATAGAAAAAATTAGCCGGGCATGGTGGTGCATGCCTGTAGTCCCAGCTACTCGGGAGGCTGAGGCAGGAGGATCGCTTGAGCCCAGGAGTTTGAGGTTGCTGTGAGCTAGGATGATGCCACGGCACTCTAGCCCGGGCAACACAGTGAGACTCTGTCTCAAAAAAAAAAAAAACCCATCTTCTTAATTTAGACAAAGCAACTGAGCCACCCCACCCCTAGCTGGGTCTTGGGAGGAAATAAGTTGATGAGGGTCTCTATTTCTGATATAAGAAACTTAGAGGAGAGGGACCAATGAAGAGATTATCTTCTCTGATGGATAGGGGCTGGGAGGGATCGCACAAGCACTATAGAGACCAGTGCCATCCATCCATCCATCCTTTCTATACGTCCAGAGACCCAACCCTATTCCTGTGACCCTCCAAAAGACAAGAAACCTGAGATCCAAGCAGCCGAGCCATAGTCTAGCATAGTGGTTCTGTTTTACAGATGGGTCAGGAAAGATGTTAATGGACTAACGTTCGGTTCCTATGTAGTGGTGGATGCAACAACAGAATGGCAGATGCAACAACAGAATCTAGGTGCAATGGCTTCGGGGAAGAACCATTGCTGTAAACCTGTGTGGCACCCTTTTGATTACCCTGTACCTTGTCAAAAGAACCCAAATTTGGTACCAGGGATGTGAATGAATCTTGATTAATTTTAAGTCAATTGCTGGGCCAGGTACTGGTTTAGGAATGGACAGATGACACAATCATGGTAAGACTTGATTAGAATGCTTCTGTAAAAGATTTTCCTTGCTCTTAAAAAGGGGGCACAAGAAGTAGTTGTTTCTCTCTTGAAGGGCTTACATGTGTGAGAAATTGATGCTTAAGAGTATCTGGGCTGGGCGCAGTGGCTCACACCTGTAATCCTAGCACTTTGGGCGTCTGAGGGGGGCGGATCGCTTGAGCTCAGGAATTCAAGACCAGCCTGAGCGAGACCCCATCTCTATATAAAATAGAAAAATTAGCTGGGCGTGGTGGTGCATGCCTGTAGTCCCAGCTAATCAGGAGGCTGAAGCACGAGGATTGCTTGCCCAGGAGTTGGAGGCTGCAGTGAACTATGATGCTACTGCACTCCAGCCCGGGTGACAGAGCGAGACCCTGTCTCAAAAACAAAACAAGTCAAAACAAAACAAAAAATCTCTGTAGCAGTCTAGCTTCTCTGAGAAAACAAAACCAAGGATAAAGCCAACACTCTGAGGATGACGAAGTAGAGAAATGGAAAACAGGGTCTCACTCTGGGGCCCAGGCTACCCTTGAATTCCTGGGCTCAAGCAACCCTCAGCCTCCCGAGCAGCTGGGACAACAGGCACGCGCCACCAGCTTCCTTGGCAATGTTTTTGAGATGCTAAACTGACTACCTGGGAAGCTATCTTGTTTTTTAATTATATGAGACACTCTTTTTCCTTATTGTTGAAGCCATTTTTACTTGTGTTTTCTGTCACTTGTAGTCAGAAGTATGCAAAGTAATAACTGTCACTGTCACTCCTTGTGTTCTTCTGAAGTAATTTGTCAGTGAGGCACACTCTATGGTTTGGGGGAGCAGGAGCACTAGACTTCAAGAGCAGTTTATTACCTGTGTTTTGGCTAAGTCATAATCACTCAGCCTCATGTTCATCATCTACCAAATGATGGTAATTGCATTTATTTACAGAGTAGTTGTAAAAAACAAAATGAATAATGTAAGTGGAGGTATTTTGTATACAAATATTAAGTTCTTTGTATCACTACATGCTTTTGAAAGATAAATTTAGAGTCTTTGGGCTTTAATACCCAAATGAGTCATTCAGTGTTCTCACTGTTTTGTCTTACAATGGCGTTATTGAAATGATGTCAGGGAACAGTTGGAACACAAGGCTGAACGAGATTCTCACTAGCTCCCTGTGAGTTCAGTGGAAAAAGTGTTATGATTGATCGTCAGCATCTTCTATGGAACATGAGGTAGTGGTTCCTGGGCCACTAACATTAATAAATTTCTATGCTATTTTGAGACATTTGTGATTTACTGCTTGCTAATTGGTTTTGGCCAAGTGGGGTAGTTGTATATAAGCTATATATCCAACAAGTACCTAAAATTATAACTTAATGGTTTGTGTAGCCATATGTTTTTAGCTACAGATTTAAACAGAGATTTTAAATATAAACTTCAAATATTTATTTTATTTCTTGATGTGATTTTTCAAGTGTAAAAGTTATTCAGTAATTTACAATTACAAAATAGTCTTTCTTGAGTTTTGGATAACATCTATCTCAAAACTCAAAAATAAAACCAAGAAAACCTCACCAACAGAAATTTTGTAAACATAGTTTTTATTCTTGTCTTACCTTCAATGAAAAAGCCCTCATGCCACCAAAACATTTTATGAAACTCAGTAACTCAACACCGAACTCAATAACCTGATAATTATTTTTCTAGACAATTGCTGGATTATATTGCTTTTAAAAAAATAGCGAAGATATATTTTATTACTTTATCCCCTTTTAAAGCAGCAGTATCCCCTCACATTTTTTTCATAAAAATCTAAAATATCTCTAGTAGTCCCAAGTGTCTTGTATTTATATTTGTTCTAAGTGTTTGTTTCATTAAGATTTTTCAGAAATAAGTGCACTTCTAAAGAGAAAATAAAATTTAAGTAAAGACAAGGGGGAAATAATCATGGTTGTAGCAAAACAGTAGTTTTCAATGTCCTGAATTTTAACAATTCAAAAAAAGAATGTGTTTAGTAGCCAGGGACCTCTACTGATTAAAATCTCAATTCATTTATTTATAAATCATCAAAAGATAGCTGTTTTTCCTATCGGTAGAGACTGATTGTCTAAAGGTTTTCTACAATAAAACATCAAAAATAAATGTTACTTAAAATATTTTAAAATTTAAAGATTTAAACAAAGATATGCAGGTGCTTAAAAAACAGAAAAAGTATGCTATTATAGATGTAAATGAAACCCTATCTCAAGCCTTAACCCAAAAATATTTTTATATTCTACATTTCATATTTTCCATTCAACTAGCTTATTAAATCAGCTATATATTCCATTCAGAAGTAGCTGATTTATAAGCAATTCCTTATTTTCATATAGCACAATGCTTCAATACATTTAAAGATTTAAAGCTATGTTAATAATAAATGCATAAAAGAAAAATAACATAACTTGCTTTAATATAAAGGTTTTTAATAAAAAAGTCAAAGTCTACATTAAATCAGGAAATTGATAAATCTGAATTATACAAGCTTTCTATATACTTAGAAAAACCAAAAACACACAGTTTATAATAAAACTCTTTTAATTCAAAATAGAGTCTAATTTAAAGAAAATGTCACTATGCCCAGTTGATTAGATAGGGTTTTGTCATTTAAATTAAAGATTCACCTGAAATATGGGATGTGTATAATAGAGAAAATTCAGTCTCAAGGGTGCTTGCAAATTATGTAGTTAATTTGCATCATGAATCAAATTCTTAGCTTCCAAAGGGCAAACACAGTCTTTAATTGCTTTTAGATAGGCACTTAAGAAATACTTTTGATGAGGAGAAAACCCCAAAGATTGTGAATCACTCTATTAACTCCAGGGAAGAATGAGACTCCAAACAAAGTAAGCTTTCCAGAACTGCCCTTCCATTGCCAAGAAATTATAACCATTTCCAAGTTCTTTCCGATAGTAAGAATGAGGGAAATCAAAACTAAAATGCTCTAGTCATATGCAATTAAAAAGTAAACTTAGATAATTCAGTTCCTTTATATCAATCTCAGTCTCTCCCTCTGTCATCTTGAATTAATATTTTTCTGCACTAGAATAGTTACCACACCAGAACTACAGAATGTCGTAATTTCCTCATAGCTTACCTATTCATTATCACACTAGCAAAACAATCTTTTTTTCAAAAAAGGGGGTGATGTGGGGTGAAAAATCTCAGACTCCAGCAGAAGTTTAAGATTTTTTTAAAAAACTTAAAGGCAGTTATAATTAGAAAAATTAGAGTTAGTCAAATTGAGATAACCCCAGAGTTTTAATAGCTCTCTCTCCCAACTACTCAGTCATGTGATCCAGGCTGGAAAAATGGAGATGAACTACTAGATGAACACATAATAAGTACTCAATAAATACCTAAAAAGAAACAAACCAAAATAAAGTGTATGTGTGTGGGGAGGCGGGCGTGGGAGGAATAGGATGGCCTAAAACATGGTGGAGCTACCTAGCAGCAACATTTATAAAAGCTTTTTGTAGATTTGCATAATGATCCTATGCAATTCTTTCCCATGAGGAAGACATTCCTACAAATAAATCATCACTTTAGATTTTGATCACAGATCATTTGTAATGGTTATAATTATTGTCTCTTTAAAAAACTCTATCAATTAACAGTTAAGACAAACATTAGGCCATTCTTTGCTAAAGTATTATTCCTCAACTAGTACTTAAGAAACCAAAACCTCAGAGAGTTGTTTAAATTAGAATTAAAATATTGAGCTAGAAAAGATTACTTAATTCTTAGGGAAAAACCCAAAGAATTTGATGCTGACATTATCTCCCATATCCTCTCATCACAACCCCCCTGGCCTGCATTTACCTCCTTCATTCCATCTAGATTAACCACAGTGATGTAGCTAAACATGAACAATATTGCCCTTGAATAAGCCAACTTCAATCAAAGATCTATCACGTCTGAATACAGCATTCCCACAGGAAAGTAAAATTCTACTCAGTTGTGAACATCTGCTCTGTTCAGGATCTTTGGTACATTTGGAGCATAAGAAAATAATGGCACAATAATACAAGTACTATTAAAGGAAAAATTTTCATCAAAAGAAATAAAAGTTAACTAGCCATGATATGTAACAACTTTCTAGAAAACCAAAGTAAATAGCATTTTGTTCTCTACAAGTCCATTTACATGATCAGAAGTTTGACATTTAAAAAAAATACTTTAATAAAAATATACTAGTTCTACAAGCAGCCTTCATGGTCATTTCCTAAATTCAACTCATCATAATCAAATTAAAATAATGCCATGTCCTCTTGTTAAAAAAGAATTCTTCTTGTCACAAGAAAAGCAACTTTACATTTTATATAATACAGTACATCTCCCTATGCGTATACAGACTACGTATATAAAGGTCATCAGTATTTCTGAATGCAAAGTAAATATATTAGTGGAGTGCTTGAGTGCAGGTGTTCAACTTTCTCTTCCTTATAACCTTGTCACTCCCTACTGTGGAGTTTGTGTAATAACTTGATGATAAATTCTATTTTTAAAGAACCAGTGTATTTCTTTTTAAATTTCTTAAAATCATTACAGAAATTGTCATCATATATATTCTACAGATGTCCAACCAATAGGGCAAATGTTCTAACACCAGCTATGGAAGATGGCTTTTACTGATTATGTAGACCCATAAGATTTGCAGTAAAACAGCAGTACTGCAGTGTTACCTACAGGTTAGCCTATGTTGCTTTATATGATATGTGTTTCTCCTGAATTGATTAGAGGTGTTACAGTTCAAAGCCATGGCACACACAGGCAGAATGGACCTTAATACGCATGTAGGCAGTGCAGTTAGAAAGGGATGTACGTTCCTTTTATTCCAGTACCTTCGTATAATAAAGTTAACAAAAATAATAAAATATTAAAAAAAAAAAAAGCCAGCTGGCACTGCCAACCAATTCCTGTAGTAGTCTTAGAAATCCTAATCCTGTAGAATTTCCTCTTGTAGTCGATAAGCACCACCGTCTTCAGGAGTATTTCAGTGTATTGTTATCTACGCCAAGCAAGCCTGGTGATGCAGCTACCTGAGTTCTCTTGGTTGTGGGCGAATGTGATCTTCATTCATAATTTCCCAGCTTTCATGTAGGTGGGGATAGAGCCACGTTGAGTCAACCCTTCAAATCTTTTATAGGTATAATTGAGAAAAACCCAGTCTTTGGATTTGTAGTCCGGTTCTGTGGTATTTGGCACTAGAAAGATAGAAAAATTAACCAAGAGCAAAGGGATTTCATTAGCGAAATGTCATCATATTCACAGACCTTTTAAAGAGTGTAAGTTATGTTATACATTGTCTTACCTGGTTGTAAAATATCAGATTCAGGGAAGTCATCAAAATTTGACGTATCATCAATGCTTTTGATTTCTATAGGGATTGCTGCTGGCCTTTCCCTATAAAAAGGTATTAAGCAGCCATGGTAACTTTTCTTGAACTCTCAATTTTTCCAACAAATAATTCTATTTGCAAATCTTGAATGCTACTCTATAAATATTAGAAAAGCCAAGGAAATTTAAGGAATTAAAAGAAATTTAAGAAATCTGAGAATAGTTAAATAGATCTCAAAATAGCTGAGTACAATTTCTTATTAAAATTATGTTCATTTACTTATAATTTTTATATCTTTGTACCAAGACTTTCTCATGTTCCTTTTTAAATGGAAAAACAATAGCTTATGAAAGGAAAAGTAAAACAGAAGAGATTTTACTTAAAAGATTTTATAATTATATAAAATATGTGAGATATTGTGAGGACTGGGTCCTTCATAATTGATTTTGGAATAGAATTCTGCTAGGAGAGGGTTCATAAATGAAAAGTCATTTGGGAAAATAAGGGGCATGAAGGTGAAGGGATGACATATTTGTTTTGAAATCTGAAGGCAAAAACTTCTCAGACGTACACATTTTAAGAGAATCAGGGATATTCAGTTAAAAAAGAAACCAGTCATGAAAATGCCTTTTTATCATGCTAAAAATGTTTTAACTATAGAAATAGTTGAAAGAAGCTATCAGTTTTTATTTCTTCTATTCTTTTCAACAAATATTTATTGGTGCTAAGTAGGTGTTAAGTTTACTAAATTATGTAAAAGCATGTGTATATTTTTACCAGAATTATTCCAATTTATTTATGCTTAATATACTAACTTAACGAACCTAGTTTAGTGGAAAGAACCATAGACCCTGGAGCCCTGAGATCTAACCTTTCTTGTCATTAACTATTAATAGCAGTATGACCTTAGACAGGTAAGCCCCTGCTCTGTGACTGTTTCCTCATTATAAAACATTGGAATGGTAGTTTCTAAGCATCCTTCAACAGCTGTAAAAAGGGGAGTGTTATAGCTCTATTCAATGAGATGATGTTATGTACAGTATATATAATACAGTGCAACAGTTAAGAGTTAGGTTTCCAGAATCAAACTGCCTGGGTCCAATTATAGCTCTTTCAATTACTAACTATGGCACTGTAGGCAAATTACTTAACTTCTCTATGCCTTAGTTTCCTCATAGGAAACTATGAGGCTAAGATGAGAAATGCAAGTAAAGTACTTAGAATAGTGCTGGACACACAACAAATGATAAAAAAAATTAGCTAGTATCATAATAGGAAGAGTGTCTAGCACACAGCAGGATTTCCAGTGAAGAACTGTCTTGGAAGATGCAAAGGAGCGCGTTAGGCAGGGTAGGGTAGAGGCAGGAACGAGGGCAGGGAGGACAGGAGCATTTCAGTTGGTATGAACAGCAAATGACAACACTCTGAGGTGGGAAGGACTAGGAAAGGCCATCCAAGATGCAACTTGTGCAGATGAGGCAAGCGCCATGTCCTGCAGACCTAAAAAAGCAGTTAAGGGTTCTTAACTTAATTCTAAGTGCAAAGGGAAGGAGGAAAATGGCATGATCAGATTTATATTTCTAAATTGTTGTGTGGAGAATTGGCCAGAACTATTGAAGGTAGTTTGGCCATAAACTGAAAAAAGGCAAATGCTCACAATTAACAACTATAAGCAGATTCTTAAAAGTTACTTACATTATTTAACTTCCCCCTATGTTTAAAGAAGGGACTTGTATCTAATTATAAGTTAATTAAGGAGACACAGTATGATATATTAGACAGAGGACAAAAATGAGGGATCACAGTGTGAATCGTAAATACATCTTGCATGTGTTAACGGCCTTCACCGTGTGAAGTACAAATGTAAGAATCTAAACAGGTGCACAATATGTGTTTTTATCCCTTAAAGTAGACATTAGCTTAAAATGAGTCATTTAGCTGTAGCCACTATAGTCCCATTCACTTACATTATCCAGAAAACACTCAATAACATTATAACAGTGTTATTTTTTGTATTTAATTTAGTAAAATCAGAGGTAAATTAATCACTAAATTTAGAAATTCGTTTTTACTCAGACCTCTCCCATTCAGAGGGTAGGGACATACCTTATGTGCCCCCAGTCTACACCTTCAAAAAAGGGATGACCTTTTATTTCTTCTACTCCACTATTTCCAATTCTGTTTTCAGAATCAATACAAAATCTAGAACATGGAAACAGAGAAATTATTATATACAAGTTACATCTAAAATACGCCAGTTGCATTATTTCAAATATTTCAAAATTTTCCATTTTTAAAAAGCATTACAATGTTTTTCTTTTTACTCAAGTTAACTATGTTTAATTGTGGGAAATTTGGAAGAAAATAAAAATCATCTGCCCCAATACACAGATAAGACAGGTAAAAGAAAAAAAAATCATCTGTAATTGCACTACGTAGAGACATTAATAACTACTATAAATATTTTGAAGTCATTTCTTTCTAATCTTTTATAATAATATTAAAAATATTTTGTTGATACAGTAGTTACTGTATTAGAACTACTTTTTTTTTCACTTAATATAATGAGAAAATTTCCCAAAGTCATTAAATATTTTTCTATGAATTCGTTTTCTAAAATTTATATATGGAAATAATTATAATTTATTTAGCCAGTTCTCTATTGTTGAACATTTAAATGTTTTCTAACTTTTCACTATTAAATAATACCATGATAAACATATTGTACCTAAATCTTTACACACATCTGACTATTTGCATAAGCAAAATTCCTAGAAGTAGAATTGCTGGGTCAAGGGTCATATACAGTTTAAGAATTTTTTATTAATAAGCTGCCAACTGGTTGTTCTCACAGGTTGTCCCAATTTATATTCCTTCTAGTCATTTACAACAGTACCAAAACACATCATCTTAGTTGAGGAACAGAAAGGAATCTTTTGCTTATAAGATTTCCTATACAGACTGTCATGATAGGAATTTCTGCTACTAACAATTTATTTTCCCTTTTCTTTTTAATGAGATTGGATCATTGCATTCTAATAGGAGTGACCTTTTACTTTTATATATATGTATCAGTAACTGAAACAACCTCTTCCCTCTTTTTAACTTCTACTTTTTTTTCTGCAAACTTCCTTTTAAGAGTTTACATTTTTTAAAATGCCTTTTCTTTCTTGATCTCTTTGACTGTATAGATCAGTGGTATTCTTCCTCCCCTGACAAAAGTGAAATGGGTCTTTTAGGGACTTATGAAATTTTAAGACACCATGAACTCCTCTAATTTAACCACTAACCTGAGAATTAAGTCCTTGGCTTTCTCAGATATAGGTACCTCCGGAGGAAACACCAGAGTTTCTTTCCAGTTCATCACTTTTCTGTATGTTTCTTGAGGTGTTTCAGAGCAGAAAGGTGGATATCCTATGTATCAAAGAAAGCGAAAAAGTTTTATCAGTTTTTGTGATCAATTAAGTCATACCTACTAAATACATGCCACAAGAAACAAAACAACCCTGAGTGCTCTATTTAATAGTAAAAAATGCCATCATTCATCAAATTATAATAAACTTGCTAATAAAGTCAGTAAAGTCAAAGATTTAAAGCACTGCCTCCCCCTTTTACCTGAAAAGCCGTGCAGATACAATTTTGCTATATGGAGTTTGAGTTAAATACCTCCCTTCCTGAAACAGGATCCCTGGACAGCTCATTGGTATTTATCAGTATGCATTTAACTTTGGGAGATGTCAGAAATAGGTTTAAAAGAGTTCAGATATTTTAGCCCATGGTATCTGCAATATGTTCCAACAATGGCACTCAAGGAAAAGTATATATGATGTACATAATTGAATGATAAAACATACCTATTAGCATTTCATACATAATCACTCCCAAAGACCACCAGTCACATAATTTGTTGTAACCAGTCTGCATGAATACTTCAGGAGCAATGTAATCTGGCGTCCCAACTGTGGAATATGCCTACAAAGGAGCAGCTCGTCAAACCAATATTCTCAACATTTAAAAAAAGTATGGCTTACTACTGGAAAAAGCATAATATGTTACAGAATACATGATTTCTGCCCCCCAAGAAGCTCAATTTAGTTATTTATATTAAACATATGTAGCCCCAGGTTCATTTCAAAAAGAATGAAAAGTTAGTTAAACCCAGTAGGCCTGACTTGCTCACTCACCACTAATGGGTTCTTGGGCAAGTTATTGAGCTTCTGCTTACATAAAATTGGAGTGATAATACCTGCCCTAACAGAGTTGATATGAAGATGAGACAATAAAAAGCAATGTACTTTGTAAACTACAAACTAACTAAATATGCATCAGGTATTTCCATTATAAACTTAATTCCAGGACACTGCTTATTCATCGAGAAGCTATGCAGTTTTTCTTTCTTAAGTCATATAAAATCTTACAAAAACTATTTCTTTAAGGCAGTACTTCTCAACCAGGGGTAGTACTCTAGGGGCCATTTGAAAATGTGTGACAGCAGAGTTTGTCACCTCAGTGACTTGGGGGAGGACATGATTGGCATTTAGAGAGCAGGGGATCCAGGGGCTAAAGAAATTTCCTGCCCCAAATACCAGTAGAGTCCCCTCCACTTCCCTCTTGGAAAACATTGACATAAGGCATGGTGACTCTTGGACGTGAGAATAGTAAAACACGCACATGACTAATCACCTATAAATATTCTGTAAATGGGGGTACAGAATTCTCCCACCGTATTTTTAAGCAGTATTCATTTTTCCCCCTTTAACAATGGGGAATATTGAGGCCGGGCGTGGTGGCTCACGCCTGTATCCTAGCACTCTGGGAGGCCGAGGCAGGTGGATCATTTGAGCTCAGGAGTTCAAGACCAGCCTGAGCAAGAGTACGACCCCGTCTCTATTTTCAGAAAAAAATTTATTTTAATTAAAAAAAAAAAAACAATGGGGAATATTGCAATTATTTTCTCAACTGTAAAATCTGATCTAAAAGTGACACATTTAAAAGTAGAATGAAGTTTTTCTCCTTCATTCATACATAGTTCAATACATTATAACAACACTGAAATGTTTTATAAGCACAGGAAGTTTGAAATTACTTGGATTTTAATGAGAGAATAAGCTCAATAATGCAAAGGTCATTTTATTTGGTTTTAGAGGATATCAGATATTACTTTTCAGTCTGTTTACTTCTCTGAGGGAATGCTGAATTAGTTTCCCTTTGATCACTTGGTGGAACTGAACAATATTTAAGGAATGTCTATATGTACCAGGCATTGTGCAAGAAATTAAGAAAACAGTCAAAAGGCACATTCCTAACCTTAAGAATGTTCATGGACTTTGTTAACACGATAAAGGGAAAGAGGAAAAGGGGGAAACGATCCTTATATTTGCTCAGTAATTAGAAGGGATATAGTATAGGGTGAAAAATAGTATAATTCTACATTAAAGGAGTAATTAAATTTATCTGTGGTTAAAGTCTGCTTTCAAATTTTATGTATTTTATTATAACATTGTTTACATCCCAAACTTACTATTTACTTTCTCTGTAAAGAAGTTCTTAGAAACTCCCAACCACCTTGCTTGCTGATTGATATCTGTTATATCAGGATTTATACCACAGGTATGGAAAATGGAAAAATAGAAATCACAAGACATTCATTACAATCACACTCAGTGAGTTTTATTTAAAAAGTGCTAATTACCAGTAAACAGATTACTTACTCATAGGCATGCTCAATAAAGTACTCTCAAATTAAATCATAAAGTAAAAATCAATAGTTTGTTTCACAGGCAAGGAAATTTTACAGAAAAACTACAAAAACTGTGTGATCCCAGAACAAGTGCTATCATTGCTATGAAGTAAGTACTTGTCTCATTGTGAAGAGACAAAATAATCGAGTAAAAACCAGATGAGACTTTTAGGACCAGGGCACGAAATTCTTTCTTAAAAATGTGGCTGACTCACCAGTTGTCTCCTATTCTTCTTCCACGTTTCTGCTTTCCTCTTTGAGTTCATGTTCTGAAATGCTAATTTCAACAATATGGAATTATAACTATGAGGGAAAAACTCTCACCAAAAAACAAAAACACATATACATCTAAATCACATTGGGTTTAAGGAATGGGGAGAGAGGAAGGGAGAGAACCTTCAGCTCTTGACAGTACTGGATTAAACCGCTATAATATTTTAACTAGAAAAAAAAAATCAAACTTACAGAAGTCACTTGGTGGGTTGTGTGTGAGATTTCTGTAGAATTCAGTCCTGTGAGCTTTCTTTAATCCCGTGCATAAACCAAAATCAGATAATTTTACATGACCCTAAGGAAAAAAATCCAGTAAAATCAGGAGATTATATTAATTTTGAAAACAAAGGCCTTATTATAAACTCCTTTTAAAAATGCAATTATTGTACAAAATTCTTAGCTTGGAATTCACACAAGTGAAAATGTAACATTACAAATATTCGATGATGATTTTTAAAAGTGGAAAATAGAAGAAACAAAAAGCCATATTTCCTGATGTTATTTCATTTCAGAGTCTTCTCTTAGTGCATCATTTTATGAAATGATGTAATTTAACAATAATCCCAATTGCAGCTGCCTATTTCCAATCACAAAATCAGCTCTATTATGCTATAAAATAATCAGCAACCTAATAATTCACCAGTTTATTCACATGCCTTGGCATCCAATAAAAGGTTGTCTGGTTTAATATCCCGATGGATGAAACCCAACTGGTGGATTGCATCTATTGCCAGAACAGTCTCTGAAATGTAGAACTGTGTTTCCTCTTCTGTCAAGGTGTCTTTCTTCATTAGCAATGTCATCATGTCACCTAAATAAAGGAAAGTAAGTATCATGTTATTGAAAATGCCTTAAAAGGGGAAATGGCTTCTAAGAGTTTTCTTTATACGTATACAATGCATGCCTGATTTTGCGTCACTCAATACACTATAACTAACCATCTCTGGGGCCAAATAAAAGTGTCACTGCATAAGCAAACAGTCCATGACATTTTTTAATGGTTTTAAAGGTACAGAGTATGTGAAGTCAAATAAGGACAAAGCTCATAATGAAGAAATATCCACCATTCAACATCCAGAATAAGTTGCTGGGGAAAATATGTCAAACAAGAATAAGTGCACCTGGAAACGAGATATATTCTTTTAAAGTTTTAAAAACATCCTAAGTTCTTTAGTCTAACAGAAACAGGATATCATCCCACTAAAAGGGATACCTCTAGACATTCTTTTATTTTCAAAGAATTTTTTCTTTAAAAAGGGGCAAATTAGTACTTTTAACTACTGCAAACACTGGTGCACTCACACAACAGAACTGACAACTGATAACATTTTTTCACATATGCTTCAAGTCTTTAAAAAAAAAATAACGGGTAAAAATATTCTTTGTCCTCCATTCCCATTCTATTTCCCTTTCCCTCTTTGCTGAGCAATGATTATCATGGATTTAGTTTGGTGGATATCCTTCACCTTATTTTTTAAATGTTTTATATTTTAAATATGTTTTGATATGCACACATATTTACCTATGAATTTATAGTCTTTTGTATTTTTGACAAATTGTGGGTGTAATTCCACAGCTTGCTTTATTCACTCTACTCTGTTTCTGAGATCTTAACTGTTGTGACTACTGTAAAATATTTTATCATATAATTATGCCAGATTTTATTTATCCATTCCTCCATTGACGGGCATTTATCTTGCATCCAATTTTATTGTGACAATGCTACAAGGAACATCTCGCATCCAATTTTTCACTACTGTGACAATGCTGCAAGGAACATCTTTTTTATAGGTCTCTTGTATATATGTGGGGGAGAATCTCTCGGGTATACAGCTGGTTGTGGAAGCGCTAGATCACAGGACACAAGCATTTTCAGCTTCACTGGATACCTCTAAATTGATCTCCATAAAAGTCAGAGATCAATTTATAAGAGGCCAGTTTCCCCCACAGCTTCACCAATACTCAGTATCATTAGACTTTTAATGATTTTGCTAATCTGACAGGTGTGAAATGGTATCTCATTCTTGTTTTAATTTGCATTTCCCTAAATATCAATGAAGTTGAACATCTCCCTATATATTTAGAGACTAGTCAGTTTCTCTTCTCTACATTTCTATCATTTGCCTGTTTGGTTGTCTTTTTCTTTCTTGACTTATTTTCATAATTCTAGACTTATAACAATTGAATTATACACAGTGAACCCAGAATGGTAGTATTTAAAATTTGCCAACTTTATCATTCCTTCAAAATAATCTGATTTATGGTCAAAATTAGCATTATTATGAATGTAAACATTGAAAAGCTGTGACTATGTAAAACCTCAGAGCTAGGAATATAAAAGTAAACCTAATCAATAAAATTATTATTACTTATGAAGATGTGCTTGTGTCACTTTGTCATTGCTATACTGTTTGCTTTTACCTCCAGGGAGAAATTCCATGATTAGATAAAGGTTCCTCTTATCTTGAAAACTGTAAAACATCTTCACTACCCAGGCACCATCTGCTTCTACCAAAATATCTCTTTCTGCTCGGATATGGGCCACCTAGATGAATATATTTTGAAAATATAATGGTAACACATTACTCATTTTTCAAGCTTACCTCTTACACTTATCCATCCATAACAGTAATGAAGGAAAGCTGGAGTTTTAGAAAAGATTTGAAACACATACATGTTCATATTCTCATTAAATGTGGAGAACCTCAGGAAATAGTTTATTTTAGCTTATATCTTTAGGCCTGAAAAGGTGAGATCAACAGGCATATTATGGGAAGCCAAGGCCTTCGAGGTAAAGCAATGATTAGTCTAAAAACTAACCAGAATCTCTACACAGCCAAGGATCCTGGCTTTGTCATATAAATTTAGGGAACCACTCTGACTTTTAAAGTTAAGAGCAGTAAACAATGA